TGGTTAGGGAACCAGTGTTGTTAAGGAAAGTGTATAGACTTTATTATCATAAAAACAAAAAGTTTTTTGAGAACGTCAGTTTTTTGGGTTGGCAAAAGGATCAGCGAAAAGAGTTTTGTCCAAATTACAATTTTTTTTAATAATTTTTAAAATAATTATTTTATAGTAACTTTACTTTTAAAAAGATAAGTTAATTAACAACTTTTTTTTGAATATATCTATTATATTATTATTTATTTCTTAAATTGTAATACAAGCAAATTTGCTTGCATATTTAAAATTTTAATAAGTTTTTAAAAAATTTTGATAAAATTTAAATATTAATTTTTATAACTTACTTATATTATAAAAAAAAAAAAACTCTTTCCTGCACACAACATTTTTCTTAAAAATTTCCTTTTATAGTAACTCCTTAAAAATTAAAGAAAAAAATATTCTTTTTGTTTTCCAATACCTACAAGTCCTTTACATCTTTCTAGTCTTCATTACAAAAGCCTTAAGAAAACCAAAGAAATATACTGGTGCATCGAAATGGGACCTCTGGTCAGAAAGAAGCAAGTCTGGGGAGCTTGCTCTCTTCTTGAATTGCATAAGGGAAGGCTTGTGGCAGTTATTTCTTTATAGATTTTCCTTGGAGCTTTTTCCATTTCTATTTCTTATTAAAATACTTCTTATCAATATACAAATACTTTTAAATACTTTCTTTCTTTTGCCAGAGGACCTTCTTTTAATACAAAACTCAAAACTTTATATCAAAATTGTGTATATTGTTGGCTTGGGAAAACAGCAATATATACAAAACATAACTTTCAATATCGTCCAACACACCATACTGCGCCACAAAAAATCCAAAAAATTTTTTCAAAAAACTTTTTATCAAAAAACCATAATCAGCTTATCTCTGGTAACTGATCTACACTTCAGTTCCAACCAACCATATCTTACAAAATATCAAAACACGTCTATCACATTTATCAAAGATCAATATAAACAACTTCAAAAATGGAAATCTATACAACCACATAATTCTTTACTATTAATAAACATTAAAACAACAATCACGTCCTATCAAATATTAACCAAAAATCAATAACAATATACAGTCATACCTCAGTTATATACCCTTCAGTTATATCCCAACCTCACTTATATCCCAGCTTTAGTGTGGGATGAATTTTCCTATTCTAATTCTATATAAATATACCTCAGTTGTATCCCACTCAGATATATTCCTATCCCCAACTTTCACAATCCCAATTTTCCAATTTTATAGTTATCCAACCTTGTTTATATCCCCTAAATTACACAAGAAATCATGAAAAATATAAAATATAAAATATATACTGTATATATATATATGGCTGATTCTTTTTGAAAACAACAAAAAGTTATATACGATATTTTGATTACTATTTTTTGAACAATATATATACAATATAAATTCTAGGAGTACAATTATAAAGTCAGAAAAATCCCTGTTTGCCTTCAAAAAGAATTACTCATATATATAAAATGATGATGAATTAATAATACCATAACAATGGGAATTCGCTGCTCCTGCCCAAAGAAGAAACAAGAACAAGTAAAGGCCCTGAGTATACAACTGGTATGCTATATGATCACAAGAAAATTGACGCACCTCCAACATACAAAGAAAAAATGATGGATTAGTATTGACCATTTCTTTTTTTTAAGTAACACACCAAGACAAAGGCAGGACACTATACCTTCTTGTGCTGCCCCGAAGTATTATGCTAGGAATGGCATTCGTTCACAATGACTTTCACTTCCGAAGAAGATTACATTTCGGTGCACATCCGTGTGGTTGGTAATTTCACTGAATCACTGGTTAGGAAACTTGGATGCAACTTCAATGAAGAAATGCAACTATGCATAAAAAAGAAAAGAAAGGAAAGAGAACATTTACCTCTTAACAAGTTGCCAGTCCCGAAGATTATGCTGGGTGCCGACGATCATGAAAGTCACGACGCCGAAAGAAGCAAGGGACGAGTTTCTAAAAGGAAGAAGAACTGTCCATTAAAAAGAAAAGAACAGCGGAAAAACCAACGGCAAAGAATTAAACTTACCGACGAGACTCCAGTAGCTCATACCAGGGACAATGGATATCGCTGAGGATCAAGGAAAACCCGCGGATGACAAATTGAATGTGAAGCATGGAGCTAGGGAAAGACTGATAAGAAAAAGTTAGAAGCCAATAGTAGAATGTCGCAAAAGAAAGAAAATGTTGCAACTTATCGAGTTGCACCAAGACTGATGACTGGAAACGCCAAAATGTCATCATAATCATGATCACGATCACGATCGCGAAAGTTTACCCTACAAAGTAGGATAATGCACGCCTAGAATATACTGTATATGCATGCATATATATTCAGGATGGCAAAAAATATCTAAATGCTTCGACAAGCCCCACAACAAAATCAATTATAGGCATCAGATTCAAGTTTATACACGACCTCAGATGTGACATCTTGATGCTGCCATAATCGCGATCACCATCATGATCACGATTGCGTATTCTCCTCACACAAGAAATCATGAACAGATCCAAAGTCTTACTGAATGTCTATGGGCCTTGACTTCATTTGCACCGAAGAAGCAAAATAAGAGTTCCGTTAAAAAAAAATGGATTACTTTGGTGGACGAAGGCATGCACATTATCCTAGTGATCCTAACCTTTTGTATATACCAACGCCAGCTCATTCAACACAATTGGTTTCCCTAATACAACAAATGTCATCTGCTCTTGATGGAAGTATTTACGATACCTCTACAAAACAAGAGACATGAATTATATTATGATTAAATCTCCGTCCCTTTATAAAAAGAAAAGAAGAATGCATGATACACATATGATAAGTGTGAGGAAATGTAACAGGTAAAAATGAAACACGATGTCCATCACATGACAAATTGTCATATTAGTACCCAAACGACTATGAAAATTAGGTAATAAAGGGAGAGACGGAAGGATTGTGAAAAAGAATTATATCATCCAGCTTTAGTATTAACACCTATTATTCTATGGCTAAGTCGTCATAGACAGATGTAAGGAAGAGAAGTATAAATAACATATAAATGTAAGAGAATAGAAACAGGTAGTCATAGTGAATAAATAAAGACTCGATCAAATAAAACACACCTCAAATTACCTTTTGTTTACTTACTCTTATAATGGTTATGCGAATCTCTGCTAGAGTGAGCACGACAGACTTGCCGATACACTGTTACACTAGTATTTTGTTAAATTTGATTAAATATGGCTAGTTCTTCAAAAACCATTAATGCAGATAAGCAAAGAAAATGAAGAAAAAATCTATCGCTTGAAGACAAAGTTGATATCATTAGGAGAAAAGATGCTAATGTAAAATTGAGTAATGAAAAACTGGCTGTAGAGTTTGGTGTAGAACGTTTCACTATAAGTGGCATTTTTCGGAATAATGAGAAATTTCTACAGTTGCATGCAGATGCTAAGAGTTCAGATCTGAAAAAAATGCGTATACAGATGGCACAATTTTATTCATTAGAAGAGACACTTTATAAATGGTTTGAAGGTTTACGCAGTCAAAATATTCCAGTTTCCCAAGATTTGTTAAAAATGAAGGCAGTTGAGCTTTATAATAAGGCTATAGAACAGGATGCACAATTTTCTAATTTTGAAGCATCAAACGGGTGATTGGAAAAGTTTCAGAATCGATATAACATTCGTTGCAAAACCATCACTGGTGAAAGCGAATCCATATATCTTGACCAAGTAGAGAATGGAAGAAAAGAATTGCAACAAATAATAGTTACGTTTAACATAGATGATGTTTACAATGCAGATGAAACAGAACTCTTCTTCCGTTTAGGTCCGAACAAAACACTTGCATCAAAAGGTGATAAAGCGAAAGGTACTAAAAAAGACAAAGAACACATTACAGTCTTGCTCTGTTGCAATGCAACGGGAACAAAAAAACTAATGCCATTTGTCATAGGAAAAGTCAAAAATCCTCGTTGTTTCAAAAATACCAACTTGACAATATTGCCTGTCAGATATTTTAGCAATAAAAAAGCCTAAATGACAATTGAAAGGTGGAATGAATGGCTAAAGTGGTTTGACAATCAACTATCTCAGAAGTCACTTTTGTTGATTGATAATTGTCCTGCGCATACAGATGACTCGTCCCTTGATCTTAAAAATTTACAAATTAAATTTCTTCCAGCAAATATGACGGCTTACATTCAACCATGCGATGCTGGAATCATTCACAATTTTAAAGTTTATTATTGAAAGATATTAGTATCACAATGGATTCATAAGTTGAATGAAGAACAAGAGATGAAAAAACCAAATATTAAAGAAGTAATTGAAATAGTTGCAGATGCTTGGAACAATGTAAAACAGGAGACAATAAAGAACTGCTGGTTAAGCACAGGAATATTAACTGCAGAAATGACACATGCCAATACAGATAATATGAAGATTGATGAAGCTAATAATGATATAGTTGAATTGATTTCAGCTTTAGATAGTCTTAGCATTGCAGAACCCTCAATAGATAATTTGACAGCAAATGAATATATTGAGATAGATAATAATTTGGTTAGTACAGAGTTATCTACAGATGACGAACTCGTTAAAGAAATTCTTTTGGCTGAAGGAGTCTTACACCTGACACAAGTAGATATGGAAGATTCAAGTGAGGAAAAAGAAGCAAGCATTTCTGTAAAGGTGGGAAGAGAAGCACTTGTAACAGCCAGGAAGTTTTTAGAACAAAGAGAA